TGGGTCACGCGATCCGGCAGATCACCGGTAAATCCCTTAAGATAGTCCAGGCCCGCGCCTGTGCCCACACCTTGTGGCACCGGGCGCATCCATCTAATTGAGAGTCATCCTTCCTTCACATACTAGACCGCCCCTCTTGTGGACCAACTATGCAATCCATTAAACCTACTTCCATGCCCAACGTATGGCGCAGGGCGTGGCGCTTCCCGCTAAATCGTACCTGGGCACACCTGAAGCTCGGCAGGGTGGTCAGTCGATATCGATATCGATTTGACCGCTGATCGATATCGTATCGATATAAGGATCGATATCGAACGATATCGATGGTAGTCAATCCGACCTTTATCCGGTCCGTTTTCCCTAGACAGAGCCACTATATATATTATAATTTTAGAAATAGGACCTAAAATCACCTGATGATGGACTTATAATAGACGTTGGCTAAAATGGAATGAGCGCTATACGTGAAATAAGGAGATTATATTTAGCTCGTCTCCGCGGAAGACGCGGCATCTTCGCACAGGACTGCGTCACGCGTAAGACAAATAGAACCCTACTACCCACGGTCTAGATTGTAGAGAGCCGGCATAGTCGGAATGAGAGGCGTCGTGTGCAGTGTGGCTCGCAACTGTCTACGTGAGGTCGTTAGCAGCTATTCCGTTACTCTCGTGCCTATAGACGATTAGAATCTATGTACAGTGGAACTAGTAGTAATAGCGATAGCTGTCGGTAGGTCTCTACACAGGCCTGCGTGCAAATCGCAATGGTATGTGTAATCGTTGTTCTTGTTCTTCTCTAGGGAGGCAGAGGCCAGCGTGGAGATAAAGGGTACGCGAGCCTCAGCCGCACACGTGACCCCAAGGGTCACGTACTGGCCATGTAATCAAGCTAGATACAATTGACGAGCACGATTCCCACAATAGCACTAATATACACGCTGGTCGGTCTCTTTTTTATTTTGATGTGACGGTCGTGATAAGTAGCTACGTAACATTAAAAGTAAAAATCGGCCTAGAAAGTAATCTAGCTAATTCACTATTTGCTATATATATGACTGTCAGAGGGAGCAGACTGACGGTCTAAGTCCCTGCACATAGAAATGGGCACCCCCCTGTTTTGGGCACCCCAAAAAAATCACGACCATTTTCAACACCATTAATTCAATCCCTTCTCACTGCCCACCACCGTGCACTACGATACAATCGTCACCTATTTCTGAAACCTCAGCTTCGGTTTCATCAGATTCTTCATTCTCAGCTGCGTTCACCTCCTCCTGCGCCCGTCGTATTGCCTCAATATTGGCGAACCTCGAATTCGGGCTCGTGACCACCTCTTCCTTTTTCGGCTTGACGGCCGCCAATTGTGTTCCAGTGCCTGAATCTGCAATTGAGCTTTTGCTAAAGGCCATCCTTCTCGTCAAACCCTTTGTGATCTTCCTGAACAGCAATCTCTTCGTGGGCACGTCGTCGTCTAGCTGGTTGAATTGAACTACCTGAACCTTCAGATCTTGCGAGCGCCTCGGGGTCGACCACGCAATCTGGGATGTGTCTGATTGCCAGTCACTGGTGGGTAAGTGGCTATTGAATGCATTGGCCACATTTTTCGCGTTCTTTTGCGTCTGTTGCTGTTCTCCAGCAGAAGAGGGCTCAAAAGTGGCTTCGCCATCGACACCGGCCACAAACCCGTCGCTTTCCAGCCACCCTTGATGTTTGACACAGTGAGCGCTTGCTCGCGTGCTTTCTGGTAGCAGGAAAGAAAGTTTTGCTTGCCGACTGGGCTTGAATCGGTCAGGAGGCTGAAATCCGACCTGTTTGCGGTAGTAGTGCTTAAGAGCGGAAGACAGACAAATCGAGCGGTTGCAGCACATGAGAGGTATGGGGAGGTAAAAAGAAGGTGAATCTGATGCTGGTAGCATAGATACATGAAGTCAACCGTCTCGTGACTTCCGTGGCCGTCCAATACTAGCAGTCTTCGCTCCGAAGGGTCGGGTGGCTGGGTTCTTGGAATGAACACCTTTTCGAGCCACTCCACCGCAGTTTGGTCCGAAGTCCAGCCGTTCTTTGTCGCAGTGAATTGCCAGTCACTAAAAGTACTGAGATCTTCTGGGAACCACTGTTGCTGGACCGATTTGCCCTTGAAAATGACGGGTGGGGAACGACGTCCAGACCCGAGAACCAGGCGTCTTCTTTTGTACAGATCGTTTTCAGCACTGCCAACGACCAGGCCATTCTCCCCAAGTCCTTCCATGATGCCTGCTTCATCCATGTTGTACCTGTTCTCCGGCTTAATAGCCAGAATCTCGGAAGGAAGAAATTGTTGAACCAAGGCCGAATTACCTCGGTAGAAGCGCCGTTGACACGCGCAGAGTCTCTGTGATGGCACTTCTGGGTCCGAACTGCAGGATTTCGTCTTAAAAATGCTTGCATCCAGTGTTTTCCGAGCGGTGTGTGGTCTCCTTTGACGGCGAGCATGCGCTGCGCGAACTGCCTGATCTGCGAGTGAGTGGGAGGAAGGCCCAAGGCGTCCTGAATGAGAATCCATTCGGTAAGTTGCTTTTCCTGTGTCTGAGAAAGCCTCTGAAGAGCAGAAAATGCATCCTTTCTGCATTCGTGACCATGCATGCGATTGTAAGAGTTGCCCTCGGGACGCCCCAATCGCGAGCAGCCTTCTTGGCGGATCCGCCATTGGCGATTGCCTCAAGGGCGCTGTGAATGTCAGACTCTGTATATTTCATCAGTAGTGGCTTGAAGACACATGCGTCAATTTTTTAGCAGATTGGATGCGTTTCCGCGGTGAAATTTGCTGTTGAAGTTGACGCAGCCGTTTAGGTTGGGCACCCATCTTGGGTGCCCAAAACAGGGGGGTGCCCATTTCTATGTGCAGGGACTTAATCCGCACACGTATAAACTCCGGTGAAAGAGGCAGGTCAGACACAAGGACTTGAGTCAGGTATCGATACAGTAGAGGAACATTGCCCTAATCGGGATACACGGGAATTGGCACTGATTCAGGGCCACCACGGGTCCCAGATTGGTATCTATTCGTATAAATACCCCCTCAATGTCGCACAGATAGATAAAAAACATGCATCATCGTTTGGACTCAATTGTGCCTGCCCTTATCCTTCCGCCCGCGCTCTCAGCTTGCTGAGAATGACTATTCGAATCGCCTCCTCAAGCGTGGCAGCTCTATTAGGCTCATATAGGTGCCAATTAAGGACGTAGGGTTATATGAGCATCAGTGTCCTAGGCAGTAGCGTAGAGTACTACTAACGCAGGGTGTATAGTAGAGAGGCGATCGGACCAAGCGAGGCCTATAATGCATCGTCTGGCGCTCGTTTAGCAGCGGCAGTATAGGCAGCTTCCAGAAGGGGTTACAAGTGTTCCAAGGGCATCGATAAGTCGCTACCGGGCAAGAACACCCGCGCACTATACGATTCGCTGAAAGAAAAGAATGTAACGTTCTAGCCAGGTTTAAGATCGGTATACAGAGTAGCAGAGTCGGACTCATATTAATTTAGCTAAAGGGCCAAGCCAATCAAGTTGTAGCTTTTCCGGATAACTACCTGACATACCATCTGGCGAAAGTTGAGCCCACTGTTTCAGTGGTCAAGGTTATCACATACAATACTCCGACAGTTGTCTTTGTTTGAGTCTATTTTGTAGGTGCATGGCGATGTGACTCCTCTGCCACTTGTCTTTGAGCTGCTGGGCGTGTAAATAACCTGACCCAGGCACTCATTTTGGGTGATCCGTACACCCCTTGAGCTCTTAACAGCTGGACACACGGTACGTATCTCGAACAAGCGACTGGGTACTTCTAATCGGCCATGAGGCTAAAAACCAGCTGACTCCTCCTCGCTTGATCGCTTTTTCCCCCTGAGTGTAGGAAAGCTCCATTCGCCGACCCTCTGAAGTGGCTTAATGCCAGTACAATTACACAGCATGACATGCTCATTTGAAATGCTGGGCTGCCTCTTGGCCTTGGTCTGCCTCTGTATCTACGGATCCAGACTTTGGCGGAAGACTCGATCACCACTCCCACCAGGCCCAAGGCCGTTTCCAATTGTTGGAAATGTCATGGACCTTCCACCCAGCAAAGTGCCCGAGTACCAGCACTGGTTTAAGCATAAAGATGAGTATGGGCCGAACAGCTCGATTACTGTCATGGGCCAGACGGTCGTCGTGATACACAGCAAGAAAGCAGCACACCACCTTCTAGAAAAGATATCGGCGAAGACATCGGCACGGCCTTATCTTCAATTTGCACATAGATTATGCGGCTTCGACAAGGACATAGCCAGTCAGCAATATAACGATAATTTTCGCCGTCGTCGAAAGATGATGCATAAGCACCTAGGTTCGGAATTGAAAGTAGCCCAATATCACGACATTCAGGCGATTGAGGTGCGACGATTTCTTGCACGGGTTTTGGATCAACCTGAATGCCTACATAAACATATTGAAAGGCATGGATCCCCGAGTCTTGAAAAGCACAATGAATGTTGCAACATCAATTCTAGTGCATACAGCAACCATCTTGTCAATGGTCCATTTTGGCTAATGATTGACCATAGCGAGATGGCCGCTATAAGCCTTCAAATGGCGTACGGGTACGCCATCGAGCCCAACGAAACTGATCCTCTGGTAAACTTGATTATGCGCTCAATGAATAACTTCTCGGCCGCAATCGTTCCTCTGTCATGGGTAGTTGATATTTTCCCTGCCTTAAGGTACCTCCCGGATAGATTTCCCGGCGCCAGATTCAAAAAGACCGCTCGACAGTTCGAGAAAGTTGTTCAAGCCGTCGCTGAAGTCCCGTTCTCTTTCGTTCGGCAGCAGATGAAGTTGGGTAATCACAAGCCGTCCTTCGTATCCCAAGTCATTGAACAGGGCACCAGTGGCGATCAAGAAAGAGAGAAAGAACAATTTCTCGACGAGGATATAAAATGGACAGCGGCCTCTCTATACGGTGGAGCCGCCGATACTACTGTGGCAACTATGGCAGCTTTCTTTTTAGCAATGGTTATGTTTCCAGAGGTCCAGCATAGGGCTCAAGAAGAGCTTACCCGAGTGATTGGCACCGATCGACTTCCTGGGCCCGCAGACAGGGCCAGCCTGCCGTATATTGACAGCATGGTGAAAGAAGTATATCGCTGGTCTCCTATCGGGCCTATGGGTCTGGTGCATGTGGCAGAGGTCGATATCGACTACGATGGATATTTGATTCCAAGGGGCTCATATATTCTTCCGGCGATATGGTGGTTTTGTCACGATCCGGCGGTCTACGCTCAACCGAGCTGTTTCGACCCGGAGCGATATCTTGATCCCCGCAACGAGCCTGACCCCAAGTCCGTAACGTTTGGCTTTGGACGTCGCATATGCCCTGGACGATATTTTGCGGACTCGGTCATCTTCTTATCTATTGCTCAGAGTCTGGCGGTATTCGACATCAAGGAGGCAGTGGATACGAAGGGTCTTGCAATCGAAGCCAGACTGGAGGGACAGCCAGGTACGATTAATCACCCGAAAAAGTTTCCTTACAGAATTGTACCCAGGAGCGCAAAGCATGCGGATCTTGTTCACAGTATTGTCGACGAGCAGCTTTGGGAACCAGGCCACGCAAGTTTTATCGAAGCCATTGCAGTCCACGTCTAGCGGACTACTTTTTCTCGCTGGAGCTGAAAATAAAGGGAAAGAAAAACTCTGAAGACAATGGATTATCTCTTCATCAAATTCAAGCAAGCCGCAGAGTTGACTCGACACGAGGATGCCTCTCACTTCAAATCAGGAATCGACTGTGGTTGGGCGAAACTGGAGGACTACTACGTGAAGACCGATCGGACCCCTGTGTATCGCGCGGCGCTTGCGCTTCACCCTTCTTACGGATACGACTACTTTGAGCGACACTGGTCTGAGGCAATGTACAAACCGGAATGGTACAGCGACATGAAAAGAGCGGTAAGTGATCTTTTCGAGGAATATCGACGACAGGCGGAGGTCGAGATACAGGCCCAGACAGGGCTTTTGGACGACGAATCCGATAAGGAGGAAGCTAGCGCCGACAATGACTATAGCTCGTTCGGCAAGAGGTCAGTCACTTCTCTCAATGTGCAGCGGAGGAGACCCAGAACCGTCACTGAGCTTGATTTGTTCCAAACTCGGCCAATTTACATACAAGATCTCGACGTCGCCGATCCGCTCGATTGGTGGAATCAGCATCAGCTTGAATACCCAGTGCTGTATCGAATGGCGCTCGACCTATTCTCGATTCCCATCATGAGCGCTGAATGCGAGAGAGTCTTTAGCCAGACCAAGAGACTGATCACGGACGAGCGCAATAAACTGTCAGTGGACACTGTGGAGGCAGATCAGCTTCAAAAGCAATGGTTATCCAGAGGCCTGGTAGAGTAGCACAAAGTGGCAAGATACCTGACGTGTAATTTGGGCAGAGAATACTCCGGAAAAGATGCACATCAAGGTGTGACTTCTTGTAGCAAATTAAGTAATCAGACCACCTTCAGACCACCTTCAGACCCAGACCGACCGGTGCTCAAAACCCAGACCGACCGACCGGAGGGGCAGGTCTGAGTCGGTCGGTTTGTTAGCCACACTGCTACTCCTGTGGAGACAATGAGCGCTGAAGTGCTCCTTATTGTCCTGAATTTACTATGTCATATAGTGTACACTTTTATTTCCGTTTGAGCTGGTCTTGTACCAGGAAGAGGCAGAATTCAGCCGGCAGGCGCTTTTGCACAAACTTCATGTATGTCTCGAGAGACGGCGCACGTCTGGATGGCGCCATCGTTGGCTTGTCCTTTGTCCTCTTAGTAGAAGCGATTCTGACCAATGAGAACTGGAGCTTAGAACAATCAATAACTCTGGGATGCGCGTATGATTGATCAAGTGACGCTAAGCTGCTTCAGAGGCTGTGCACCTGATGGCCGTTAGGGCGGACGGGACAGAGTGAGTCAGTCACAGACCGTAAGAGACAAGGGGGATAGAAACTGTCGATGGACTGTTATTCTGGTACTCATGAGGTAGGGGCAGCACAAGAAGGGATAAAGATGCATGATCTAGCTGGAAAGAAGCGGCCACTGGGCCCTATTTATGCCGTAGTCAGAGGGACCCTCAGGTGACTTACATAGGCACCAAGCTGGCCCCATACGTGAGGTCTTTATGGGTCCCCGATACATGGCCTCATAATGATCCTTCAGGTGGCCCTCCCTTGATCCTTCAGGTGACCTACTAACAGCGGTGCCTATACTAGCCGACAGAAACCTCTCCCCAAAACGCAAGTACGGTACGGTCAAGAGATGTACCTACGGCAAGCAACTGGTAAGTTAATTTTCTCCTCGATGCGTGATACAGTAAGTACTGTAATTTCGCGTCTCGAAGCAAAATTCGCGATTTTTGTTATTTGAAGAGTTCAAAGAGCATGGGAGGTGAGTATCTGCAGATTATGGAAGGGCCGAAAAAAATTACACGATATGTATTTCGCGCAGCATAGAAGACTTTGAAGCGTAGACTAGTGCACCAGATTCCTGAATACGCTACAACTTGGCGACGCGTGTAAGCCAGGATATCACAAGTATTGCGGTAGCAAAAAAATGCAGCGGCTGTACAATTTTCGTTCAATCGCTTGGCAGTGGCTTATTCGATGCTCCACACGCCGGAGCGGGCAGCCCACGCTGCTTGTCCACACTTACACAGGTCCGACTCTGCTGCTCCTATCGTGTGAAGATAACTGTTCAATCGCGTCATGCCAGTCCGAAGCTGGGCTAGAACGTCCGATTCTTTTCTTTTCAGCGAATCGTATAGGGCGCGGGTGTGCTTACCCGGCAGCGCCTTGTCAATGCGCTTCGAGTATTTTCCAACCCCTTCTGGACGCTGCCCACGATGCTGCTATTGGACGAGCGCCAGACGAAGCGTTGTGGACCTCGCTTGGTACGATAGCTTCTCCACCATGCACCCTGCCTTGGTAGTCAGATATCGAGGGCTGGCTCGAGTCAACCGAGTCTCCTCGGAAGCTCTTATGCTCCGCAATAGACTTATTGATATCATATTTCGAGTGGATATGGTCAAGTGCTGTAGAATTACCACTTAAGATGACTAGGAGGTCTTGTTGACGACGCTGCTTCTCGCCGAGATAGCAGTACCAGACACGTTTATCGTCTCTTTTTGACTTCAGGTCCTCACCGTATAACCAGATAACGGACGTTCGCTTCTTTGTTAATTTAGGACCTCTTGCCAGCACAGTGCAGCGAGTGTAATGCTCTCCTTGAAGCCTGAACTCATCTGGCTAGATTAAGGCCACCGGATCGCGACGACTGTTGATCGATTCCGGAGCGAGAACAACATTATCAGACCTAGGAGGTCTATTAGAAGCGCCAGTGAAGAAGTTAGTGGCGTCTACGTCATCAATAAACAACGGGGCAACATCACCGAGCCCACGGGCAATGTCACCGGCCCCAGTGTGGTTTTCAATCTAGACCCTTATTAATCTAATTAATTAATATCGCGGATTAAATTAAATTAAATTAACCACCGGATTATTAATCCTAGTTAATCCGCGTAGCGTTCCTCTGCTATCTCTTATTGGCTTCTGCTAGTTACTAGCCCCGTTATCTAGCTAATAAATTAAATTAGGGGGCGGTGCCTTAAACGGCGGATTATAGCGCCGTAAGGATTAACGGATTAAACTTTATTTAATCCGAGCGCCGGTAATCCCTATTATCGGTAAATAAAGATCGATAATTACGCGCTTATCTAGAAATTATCTTATTTTAATTACCTAAAGTAATTATACTACTAGCCGGAACCCCCCCCCCTATCTTTTAAGTAAATAGTAGATTTATATAGGTAATCTATTAACTTTATACTTTATATACTATCTATTCTATAAGTTAAATACTACGCTCTTTTTAATATTTATTATAGAAACTAAACTTAATTTATCTTTTATAATACTTTCTATCGATAATTTAAATAAAACTAATATAAATATTATATCTAGAAATATAAGAGGTACTTTAGTAATTATAACTAAGGAATATTATCGTTTACTAAGACTATATAAACTTAATAAAGCTAGTAAAAACCGACTCTTTTATTATAAGTATTATATAGATAGCTATCGATACTAAGCGAGTAATACCTTTTAAGCGCACCTTATAAAGATTTATAGGATTATTATAGTAAAAGTACCTTATATTCTAAATACGGTATTTAAGTAGCTTAAATAGCTTTACCTTAAGGCTATATTAACGAGGTAAACGGAGGTAATTAATAACTATCTTTTATAAGGTGCTTAATAAGGAAATTATTATAGAGGCACTTACTATATTAATCGTCGCGCGAAATCTATCTTTTTATATCGTTAAATAGCCTAAGTTTTACGCCCTCTATAAAGTACTTAATCTAGAAGTAGATAGATATATTATAACTATATACTCTAAGATTAGGAAAGCGATCTATATAATATATAAATCTTAAAAGGATCTTATATAGAAGGCGCTTTAATTATTAAGTTTAAGTATTTATTTAGTAGTTAATATATAGACTTCTTTAAACGGGCTTCTTTTTCTTAGAATCTATACTTACTTTATTATATAAGACTAGGATAAATTATCTAGGCTTCTTATTAGTTTTCGTAGGATTCTTAGCTACTTTAAATTAAAGTAATTCTACGCTATACTACTAGTCCTTAAGGACTATAGTATCTTTCGAAAGGTTAGATCTATTATTAGTAATAACGTAAGCTCTAATAATATACTTTACTATACGATAGGTAAATACCTTAAATAATAGGGCATTAATTAGGATCTAGTTATTTACTATATATATTACGTTAGCTATATTATTAACTTAGCTATCTAGGCCTTCCTCTTTTATAACTCTATATAAATAGAGGAGTTAAACTTATATAAAGAGTAGGAGATTATAGCTCGGGATAGTATAGCTAGATCTACTAATAAATCCTTATAATAGTTATTCCGGAAAATAGGTCTACTTAGTAAGCTTTATAATATTATTATCTTTATTCGAGCATTAAGCGGCCGTACCTAAGCTTTTATTAAGCTAGTAGGGCGACTAGTTCCGCTAGATAATCGTATAAAATAGAATAGCTAGACTAATATATATAAGGTTATATTTTAGTATAAAGGAAAGATTAATAGATTCTATAAAGCTTATTAAGATAACCTTAAAGATAACTTTCTTTCCCTTTTAGACTAATAGAAGATTCGAACGGTCTAGACGTTTTTAGTACTATTCTAAGAGGTAACTTTATATTACTAAGGATATAATATAATAATCGACTTTATACTCTTTACTATAAATATACTAATTAGGCACCTTAAAGGAGCTCTACTTAAATTTAAGGCTAATAAGGAGCTCTATTTATAGATTTAGAGTAGCTAAGAGACCCTTAATAAGTATTATAGTAAGATAAACGACTCTCCTTTTTATACTACTAGTATTATACTTAATCTAGATTTTCGTATAAAGTATATCTAAAGTAACTAGAAAGTATCCTAGTAAAAGAAAGCGATTAGTAATATTAAGGAGCTTTAGCGGAGCTATTAGGATAGTAATCTTAGTGCTATACTATCGTACGAAGCTAAAGCTAGTCTAGAGACCTAAGAGCTAGTATCTATATTTAATAAGATCGCGCGAGGCCTAAAGGATTACTATCGGCTATAAAGCTAAGATAAGTTCGATAATTATTATAACTAAGAACTATATAAGCTCGGTAAGATAACTACTATTAAGTAGTAGCTATAAGACTAATAATAAATACGCTTTTTATAGCTTTCGATTATAGTAATTAATATCCTTTTAATTCTAGTAATAAATAATAAGGTAGAGTAAGTTTTTTTAAGAGCGCGTTATATAATCTTATAGGATAGAGCGTAATTATCGGTAGAAACTATTAAAGTACTAGAATATATAAAGAGTTAGTATCGAAGTCCTTATATTAGACTATAAAGACGATAGTACGGAGTAGTTAATTAAGCATCCTTTTAAATACTACGCTATAGCGCTCCTTTACCTAGTTATCCCGCTAAAATAAATTATTAAATTAGTAGCGCCTTTATAGTAGTTATAGTACTATATAGATTAATAAGATTAATAATCTTACTAGTTAATTTAATTAATCTATTAATATCGATTAATTAGGATTAACTAGATCGAAAACTATACTAACCGGCCCCTTAGACGAGAAGTTAAATAAGATCGAGACGATGATCGACGAATTTATTAAGGCGTTGGCCCTAGAGTAAATAAAGAAGTACGACGAAATTAATAATTATCACGCGCTTAGAGACCTAGGTTGCGTCGTCTAAAACCGAAGTAGGGATCGCGACGCGCGGCAGAACCTATATAAGGATGCGGGGATAACCACAGCCCCC